CCTTCTTTTTCTCCCTCCTCCTCCTCCTCCTCCTCCTCCTCTTCCTCCTCCTCCCTCCTCCTCCTCCTCCTCCTCCTCCTCCTCCTCCTCCTCCTCCTCCTCCTCCTCCCTCCTCCTCCTCCTCCTCCTCCTCCTCCTCCTCCTCTCCTCCTCCTCCTCCTCCTCCTCCTCCTCCTCCTCCTCCTCCTCCTCCTCCTCCTCCTCCCCCTCCTCCTTGGTTACGAGTCCACCGCAATGGCCCCTCCCGTCGTTCGGCCTGCCGCCGCCCCGCCAAGCGCGGCCCTCCGCCCCCCGCGGGGCCGTCGGCGCCGCCCGCGGTGCGCCCTCGCCCTCGCGGCCCGGCGTGCCGCTCGGCGCGCGCCACGCGGCCTGGGCGGCGGCGGCGGCGGCGGCGGAGGGACCTCCCCTCCGCCTCCAGCTGCTGCTGCTGCTTCAGCTTCAGCTCCTCCTCCTGCTGCTGCTCCTCCTCCCTTCTCCTCGCACGTGGCTCGTAATACCTCCTCCCCGCCCTCCCCCGTCCCCCTTGTCCTTCTCCTCTTCCTCCTCCTCTTCTTCCTCCTCCTCCTTCTCCTCCTCCTCCCCATCCTCCCCATCCTCCCCTATCCTCCCTTTCCACCTTCTTCTGATCCTCATGTTGCTGCTGCTGCTGTTCCTGCTCCTGCTCCTGCTCATGCTCCTCCTCTTTCTCCGCCTTTTCCTCTTCCTCCTCTTCCTTTTCCAGTGGCTCTCGCTTGGCTCCCACCAATCCATGACCGAAGGGGCTGCAAAGGGGCCCCCAAGCACCACCGACCACCACTACCCAGCGCCTACAGGGCGGAGCCCGAAGGCCAGGACCGCCATGCAGGCGCAGGGCAGTGGCCCAGGTGCCTGGCTGCCCCCACCACCGCCCGCAGGCAGTGGCCAACGAACGCCCGACAGGGCGAGCACAACAAGACAATTCAACAACACAATCAAAATAGCTTGGTCCACCACTCCGCCTCCTCATGAGGCGCGAGGCTGAGTGGCCAAGGGCTTGTGATATTCTGTCCCCGCGGCCAGGGAAGGTCGCCTCTCAGAAGCTGTCTCCTCTGCTGTGCAAATACTTTACCACAGGGCTTCAGCAGCTGACGAGGAGCCCCAGTACAATAAGCCCCACACCTAAGGCACAACACCACAGGCAGAGAAGATTGTACTATTTGGGCGACATGCAGTGTGTGGGGCTTGGGGTTGTCGACCCGATTAATTAAAGACCGCATGGAGGGGGTTAAAGCCGCGCAGGACCCCCTAGGATTCTTAGAATCAAACGCACGGGCGCACTCAAGGCACCGCCACCTACACCCGTTCCAACGCACACGATGAGCCCTCAGGCCGCTGGGAAGGACCACAGGCCTGGGGACTCTCGGGGCGCGCTCTAGTTTGCCAAAAACAGGTCTGGCCTCTGGAAGGCTGTCTAAAATTGTGCCCATGCCTACTGCCAAGACTTCCCACCTACTCAGAGCCAGCTCGTACTTGACAATGTTCTGGGCCATCTCAGGATGCGTTTTGGCCCCGTCCTTAGCATACTCGTCGGCATAATCGTTTCCACGTTTGTGAACCCGAGCCATACCAATCACGTCTTCCCCCACATGAGATGTAACCTTGTTCAACACGAAGGGCGGGCGGGGCGACGAATAGAGCACTTTCCAGACTTCACTGAGCGGTGTTCTCCCGCTCGTCGATGCCCTCTGATCTCGAGGGCCTGCAAAAAGGGCCTGGCAATCCACGTTCAGCCTGAACGGCTCGTCCTCGCCAGTATGTTCAAAATGCTCCAGGGCCTGAAGCAAAGCGTAGTGCTCGGCGAACACAGCGCTCTGAGGCAGGAAACCAGGCAGGTTACCACACACAGCTCTTGCAAAGTCCCCAGCGTCGTCTATTTGGATGACGGCCCAGCCCGCGCGGGCCACATAAACATGGGTGGGGGAGTAGCAACTACCGTCCGAATACAGATTTTCGCAACGGCTGAACGTGAACTTTGTTGTTTCCCCCGACCTGTCGAAATACCGAACCACTCCATCCCACAAGGCATCCTGAATGCCCTCGGGCTGGGCGTCCCACAGGCTGGAGTAGAGAGGACCGTCTGGGCCAGCTTCAACAGCTAGCCGAACAACATCGGCACTCAATGCCTCATCTCGCCTGTCAGCGAGTCCTGGACAGACAAAGCAGCGGTGCCATGCAGTGTCATCGGCTCCTCCCTCGGGGGATCTGCAAAAAGGGCACACTGGAGGGATCTCGTACTTCCAATCATGTAAACGCTTGGCCGTGACATACGACCTGCAGAATATCTCTTTGACAGCTTTTTGAACACCACGAAGACGCTTTTTGCTAGCCCAAAAGGACCTCGGCGGGTCCGTCCACAGACCGCGATGCAAAATATCCAGAGCCCTCGGATGTTCGGAGTCCCTCAGATGCCTGCTCATACTCTGGGCCACGTAGGCCTTAGACAAATCTCGTACGAAGTACTTCTCTACCTGCACGAACGGCGTATCTGTCAACAGCAGCGGGTCCCCGTTGCTCATGTTAAAACTGAGCGGGCCTCGAATCTGCCAGTTCGCCATACCGAGCCAGAGAATCATGTCTCCTATGGGTCCCCAGGACTTCTTGGCCCATGAACTTCTGGAATGTTCCTGGATGTAGTTCTGGACAGCAGACAGAATCTTAGAAAGCTCCCCCACAGACAACCCATCGCCATGGCGGTGCCCAGGGGTCGATGCCATCCAGACTTCTTTTGCAAAGCGGCGAAGGGTAGCAGCAGCATGCTTGACAGGATCTCTGGTCGGCTCCAGCGAAAGTGCCAAATTTAAATCAGCTCCACAGGAAGTCAATCCAAGAAAGCCAGCAGCCTGACTTCGTAGCTTGCGAATCTCTCTCGGCGTCCGTCCCACCACCTCCTCCCCATAAGTAGTGGCTGGCTTGACACCGCAGAACCATATTTTCGCCCTGGCACGTTTGGGATTTCGAAGGCTTCGAATCTTCCCCAACCTCCTCCTTCCTTTGGCCCACCTCTCATTGCGCTTCTGCTTGGCTTTCCTGACGCTCAAATGCTTGCCTGGCGCGAAGTCGCATCCTAGGTTGACAATCGATGGGTCACATGTGCCAGCGTACTGATCTAAAGCTAGACGGGCCTGAGCTACCAGCTCCGGAGAGGTTCCAGTAATGGCGAACTTCTTCATAGAGAAACGAAGGTTAAATAAATTCGATGGCCGATCAACCAAGAAAGCGACAGCAAAACCCATATTGATCACACAAAGCTCCAAATCCTCGTTCCTCTCATTGAGACTAAAATCATCCACATGCACGGCCAGTTCGGGATGCAGACGACACTCACAATATTCCGCTACAGTAGGAAGGCAGTAGCAGTTTATCTCATATGTAGCCGTGCTGCTTCCCGCTACGATACCCTGAGCTGGCATAACTGCATCTGCGCACATACCGTCTAGGCTCAGGATCCTCTGCCACGCGTACGTGTGAATAGAAAACCTGAGCACATGCATCGGGAATCCCCAGTCCAACGCCGAATTGATCAACTGCTGGTGCTGCACGTGCTCATAGCACTGCTTCAAGTCGGCAAGCAGGCTGAGCACGTGCTCTCGCCTGGAAAATGCAAGGTCACCTCGAACAGTCTGGCGCCATGCCGTATCTGTTGGGCTCCGTCCAGGAGCCACGCTGAAGATACCACCGTCCAAAATGCGTTTTTCCCAAGACTTGCACACAGAGGAGTTCCACCTTGACAAAGTCCGAACCAGTGTTTGGAAGAAGCCTATTGGCCTCCGTCCCAAAACAGGTTTCCTGAAGAGCGCGACCACGAGGGTCTGCATCCAAGTAGGGGTGGATCCCAAGATAAGCATAATACAGAAAATACAGCTGAGGCACGAAAGGGCCTGAGAACAGAGAAACTGATAATGCCTCGGATGGTGCCCATCTGCTGCGATCGTATTCCTCTTGAAGCTCTTGGAGATGCGAATGATCTCCTCGGGGCTCGGGGGCTCTGGGATATTGTACGAAGGCCATTCCAGTGGGCCTCCAGCAGTTTTCTTGTTGGCCCCCCAAGCTTCTACCCAATTCTCCTTCTCCTGAGCGAGCTGGGCGGCAAGGCGCGAGGTCACATGGCCGTCGTCGGTCGGCAGCAGGTCTTGCTTTCGAGCATCCGCTGCCCTAGTGTAGGCGCGAGCCCACTTCGCTCCGCCTGCCAGCGCCTCGGTGCACCAATCCTTCCACTTGGCCGAACGATCGGCCCTCTCTCTAGTCAAACGTTCTATCGCAAAATGATCGGCCAGAGCTTTCAACGCGGCTAAGGCTTGGACAGGCAGGACCGACTCTATCTCCAAGGGGTTCCAGAGAGGAATCAGCACGGCCTCCAAGGCCCCACACCAAAACTCACGGCCTCCAGCAAAGTGATACTTGAAGATACCGCCTGCTTTTGAAACCTTATAACTCGAACGAACAAGATCATCATAATACTGCCTATGCGTGTGATACTTCTCTTGCTCCACAAAAGCCAAAAGCTCTGCACAGCGCTGCGGCAACCACTTCAAAGCACGATACGGGCTTCTCGACGGGGGGCGCTTGGTGCAGAGGAGCTCGGCCATGGGGACCTCTACCGTCTGATATGGGAGACCTCCAGCCCGACCTTCTGGAAAGCTCTGAAGCGTATTCCGAAGTTCTCCCCAAGACTGCTCGCGCCACCTCTCAGACTGCACATCCAAACCTTGTTGGAGCATATCCCGCTCCTCATCCCTAGGAAGCCTGAAACCCCCATCCTTCTCGAACGGCAAGATGAGGTCCTCAAGAGTCTCCAGGATGCTGTCATAACTCGGGGCCTGAGGGGCTGGGCCTACGGGAAGATCCACCGGGAGCTTCTGATACTTCAAGAGCCTCTGGATCTTGATGGTGTCCACCCCCTGCTTAAACCTCAGAGTGACAGGTCGGTGCGGGAATAAATATGACTGCAAATCGGCCTTCGCCGACTCAACACCAGCAAGCAAGTTCTTGCTGATCAAAAAGTAGTCGTAACATCTACCTGGCGTGCTGGACAAGCACGTCTGACTGGGATTCGGAATGACAAGCTGCCCGTTCAACCTATGCGGCGAAAGCCCTTCTCTGAACAGGTGAGGCTCTATGTTGTGGTCCCCACCAGAGATGTAAGGTAAGTTACGCCTGGTGATATCGTTTCCCAAGGCAACCGCCAGTCGTAGATTCTGTTCCCCCAGACCGATCCCATCTTTCCAATAGTTACAATAGATCGAGACCACTCCCAAAGACTTGCTTCTGTAGTAGCAATGGAGGATTCGGGCCTCAACCAGGGCCCCAGGCTCTGAAGGGGGTTTCCACACACCCAGATGAGCCCTGGCCAAAATACAAACTCCAGCGCTTTTCCCACCTCGTTGGGTGACTTCGCAGGGAGCCAAAAAACTGTTCCACCCTTGCTTTCGTAGACGCTCCTTGGCTTCTAGCAGGGGCTGACCATGTAGTTTATGTTCTTGAACGAGTACAATATGGGCGGATGTGCCCATCACGAAGGCGGCCGCGCTGGTCCAGGAGTTGGCATTCACTGTCTGGACTAAGAGCTGGCCGCCCTTCTCATACTCACACTGACTGTTACCCGCCAGACGGGTCCAGGCACGTGGCCGCAGCCTCCTCCTGGCTCTCCTGGCGCGCACGGCGCGCTGGGGGTGCATTGGCGAGCTCCGCCGCCTCAGCTGATCTGCGGCCCGCCAGGGCTACCTGATCCATCTCGGCGTCCTCGGCGTTCTGCTCGTGCACCTCTGCCTGCGCCATCTCCTGCTCCTCCCGACCTCCGCTGGCAGCGGCGGCCGCCTGCGACTCCTCGGCCACTTCCTCAGGCGGCGGCGGCGGAGGCGCTGGGAAGCCCGCCTCTGCTCGCACAGCGCCCGCGAAGACCGCCACGTGCTCGTTCAGCGCCTGGCGCAGCGACGGGTCGAGGTTGAGCGACAGATAGTTGAGGCCGTTCAGATAAACGGCCAGATCATGTGCGGACTGCATGCCACTGACTGCCGCCATCATGGCCCCCTTTCCCCCCATCGTGGGCGTGATGAAGGGCGTCATAAGTCCTGGCGGCGACATATATGGGTAGACAGCTGGACGTGCTGGAGCCGTACGTTGAAGATGAATCACCTTCTCCTCGAGCTCCGACTGGGTCTCCTTCGCGCTCTGGATGTCTGCTGCGATGAGGGCCCTCTGCACATCCAAATCTGCCAATGTCTGTTCCTGCTTCATAACATATTGAGTCTGAGTCTCCAGCTGCTCTTGAGCTCTTATCAGACGAGAATTGTGCGCCTGGAGGAGCTGGCTCTCGGTCTTCTCGGAGTCCCTCTCCATCCTCATGCGCTCCATCGAAGCTTCCATTGCATCCTGCGCTGCCAACACATCCTGCGAGGCAGCGCTCGACTCGGCCTTGGCTCCAAAACCCTTCATGATGTCCAGGGACTGTTGGAGCTGCGTGATCTGCGGGCCGATCGGCTTCTGCTTGGCATCGGTCTTTGCCTTCTGCTGCTGCGCGGCTGGGCCAGCCTCCGATGTGCTCTCCCAATGCTTGCCGCACTGCCAACACCAAGCGTGACGCATGTTCACAAACGCGCTGCATCCAGCGCACTGCCACGAATAGTTAGACGACAGTGTGGGTGCGGCAGGGCTCTTGCCAGCGCTCGAGCTTGAGGGCGCGTCAGCCTGGGACTTGCCCTTCCCCTTGCTCTTGACTTGGCCTTTGCCCTTCCCGCCGCCCCCACGACCTCCCATCACTACACTGAGAAAAACAAAGGAAGTGCGATATCCTGCCCACGGCCCTGCTGTGGCCCAGGTCGGTGGTGTGGGCAGGTGTGGTAAGACTGCTGCGTCACCTTGGGCCCTGACCCCCTCCAGAGAAGAGGGAAAATGGCTTGAGCCAGAGGCTACGGACCCTCCTCTTCCTCCTGTTCCTACTCTTCCTCCTCTTCCTCCTTTGCTCCGTGTGCACCCTCTCCTCCTCCTCCCTGTCCTCCTCCGTCTCCTCCTCCATCTCCGGGACGCACGGTCTTACCCCAACCTTGCATCCCGGAAAACCCACTGGCTCCACCCAGCGAGGACAGGTGCCGCTCCATGCGCCACGATAGAGGACGTCAGCACGACTCTTGCGCCTCAAACCGAACGCGCACGCCTCTTCTGTCCCTCTGGTAAAAACTGCTTTTGACCGGCAAACGTGCTTCGACAATTCGTCATGGACATCTGCCTCAACCTGGCGTTGGATGCTTGATGTCTGCTTGATACCGTACAAGGCAGGAGACACTTCTACGATAACAACCGTCGACAGCAAGTCCAGGGCTCCCACTGCAAGAAAGCTCCAAATATCACTCGACGAGACTGTCCTTTTCGACTGGTTGTCAGGCCTGAAAATCCACCCGGGCAGAATTGTTGGCTGGGCCGTGGGCGAAAAACTCCATCACCAGGTGACCGCCCTTGAACTACACGGTCCGCTACAAGCGCACCACCAGGCGAAGCCGGCAAAGAGCTACATCAACGTAGCACCCGAAGCGGGCGACGCCCACCTGAACCTTCAGGCCACCACCGACTGTCCAACTCGAACAAAGTTGGCCAACGTTCGGAACGATGTACGAGGATTGGGGCTCCCACCTGTCATGATTCCACCTACCGGCGCGGTGGTTCACGCATATGCTCGTGCGTCGCATAGAAAGTCACTCCTGGAGCCTACCAGCAGACATGATCTGGGTGCCGTCGCTGCGGTCAAACAGGGTCTTGGCTACTTTACTAATGCGTGGTTACTGAACACGACAAGTAAGGATAAAAACGCAATATGGCATACCGCCTCCTTTGCAACTACCTGCGCTGGGGTGACCACGCCCAGCAGAGAAAAGTCAAGGCCGGCATCCCTGGTGACCCATCCCTTCTGCGCAGATGCTGCAACCAAGGAAAAAGAAAAACGGGAACACACCGCTTGGAAATGCCCGTGCTGAGAATCCGAGAGGACTGCTCTGACAACCGCGATCAACGAGCAGTAGCAATGGAGAGCCCTGCCGCCGCACACTGGGCATTGTGGCCGCCTTGAGGGAAACACCCAGCTCCTTGATCTGCAAGCTGCCCTTGCAGAGGATGGTCTCCCACAGCTCGTCCCGCAGCCGCCACCCGAGGGCCCCGATGATGACTCCTATGAGAAGTATACAGAAGACGCCGCGGACCGATGAGTGTAGTATGCAGCCACAGACAGGACCTGCTCGCACCAGGCCCACCAACTCCTCGCCAAGGCTGGTTATGTTGTGGCCCAGACCACTGGTTAAACGACTCAGCTCGTGTGCGCGGCCTGGCGCAGTCCGCTCAACGGCCGAGACTCTTGGCATGCTCTATCTGGTCGACACTGCTTTACGGCCTGTTCAAGTTTTTGTTGACAGGCACGCCCTTGTTGACGGATGGGAGGCCCTCCTCAGCGGTAACAACCACAACGCTCGGGTGCCCAGGCCGCCCTTTGGCAAAACAACACCGAGTCCTCCACCCCGAACCTGGCATGTTCAAAGTCCAAACGGTAGGAAGCCACCCATCTGAGCAACGCCTCAAGAGGGGGCGTACCACGCCGATCGCGGAGACATTAACCGCCACGCAGATGAGATTACCATGGCCGGCCAGCGCCTGTTCAGCGTGCCACAAGACTTCGTCGACACAGCTAAATGACGACTCAAATTCGCTGTCGTCCTCCACGGCGCAGCTGTCGCGGTCCATGCCTGGCGTCACCAGATGCTCCCCCTGCCAGACAGAAGGGCGGTTTATGCAAGAGCTGAACTCAGCAAGACGAAGCCCAACGCTCTCACCACTGGCCAAGGCGGCCACGAGCCACCAGGCTCGCAAGGCGGCCCGCTCATTCCGATGGTCCACGGGCCCGACGATTTTGATCACCTATGGGCGGGCCTGCTCGATGTGTTCGACGGCATGGAACGAGACCCGCTCGGGGTAGGCGCCTCTTTGAACATAGAGGAAGGTCACAACAATGACGGGCACAACGATCACGACGATCACCGCGACGCGTGCCAACAACAAAGACTCTCTAACGGTCAGGTGCAAGCCGCCCATGGTCAGCAGGATCAGGCCGCCAATGCCAGTCTCTCCCACCACCAGGCCACCTCCACCTTTCCCACCAGGGTACGGGGAACAGTCAATGGCAAGTGACCGACGACGGAACAGGCCCTGGTGGGACGGGGAGCCAGCGAACGGCCCGAAGACAATCTTGTACACAGCACCACCCAGCGGCCAGACGACAGCCAGAGGGTGATCGCGAAACGGTCCTCGCCGCTAGCATCGATGCGCCCCAGCAGCGGCCCAATCACCGACCCCAGTCTCTTCGGCACATCCAGAACCAATCTGCCGCGCTGCTAGGTTCAACTGGGCACAAGCTGCCCGGGACGGCCTGCAGCAAGCTTTCCGACCTGCTGCTTCCTATTGGGGTGTCCATGCATACCTTACTGCTCAACGCGCGACACTCCAGTGCTAGCGCCTCCTCTCTCCCAATGGGCGCCGCGATTCCCTGGCACCTGTGCCGTTGCCCCTCACGGGTGATGCCCTGGGGTGGCGCCATCACTGCCGCCGAGGGGACCCGCCAGGAGTCAAAAACATCGCGCCCTGGACCCCTCAACGGGGCGCGTCCAGGCAAGACTTCCGAGGCGGACCCAGCCGTGGCCACGAGGGCGCCGCAGGATGGCCAGAGGCCTCCAGGGAGCGAACCTCGATCCTCGAACCTCGAAGCTCCCCCTCCACCCCCCGCTCCATCGGCCTTGCTGTCCTCCCAGAGATGCTCCATGCCGACGGCGCCGGCTCCGCGCTGCGCCGGGGACGCCCGGGGGTTCCAGCCGCAGCCCTCGGCGGGCGTCGCCGCGAACGGCACGCCAGGCGCCGCCCCGAACTTGGTCGGGGAGACCTTGGGGCGCACAAGGACATACTAGTACTATGTGCTTCTGTTGGAGACGCACGTCCGACCCGAACATACAACACATAATATTGTAGCATATCGTTTCCCGAGCGGTCTGGCCAGAGAGCGCCCGCCACGCAACTTACACTGTAAGATCTCCGAGCGCGCGCGTCGCCCTTGCGTGACCGACGGGGCTGTGGTGTACGTATGTCTGGGTGGTGCCGGAGACATGCTGGCGTCGTGGCAGGAGTCACGACGGAAGGTGTTGCTAGGGCCTCGGGCTGTGCACAGGCAGTCCCCTGGGCAGTCACAACTGGCCTCGACAGCCTCGAGTAGCCCGCATGGGTAATCTCAACACGCCAACCGTGGTGGAACGATTGTACGCGGCGCTAACGAGAAAACCGCATTTAAAAAACGACCCGCCATCAACGCGTGAAGCCCTTGCAAGTCCTGAGAACGAGTGTGCGATACGCTGAGGAGGAGAGCCACATGTTGAAAAAGATCCGCCCTCAATATGCGAAGCCCTTGCAAATTCTTGCAAACAGTGCGCGCGGCGCTGAGGCGAGAGACGCGTTTTGAAAGCCACCCGCCCTCAATCCGTGAAGCTCTTGCAAGCTTTTGAAACGAATGTACGCGGCGCGGGTCGACAGGCGGACGGAACAATTTTCTCGGTCGAGCAAGAATCTCGACGAACGAACAAAAAATTTGTCCTGGCGAGCCAGGAAGTCCCGCTGACCGAACGAGGCGATTATTTCGGGCGAGCGGGAATTTGTTTCCTCGGTCGAACGAAGAAATTATTTTGGGCGAAAGGAGAAATTTCCCCCGTCGAGCGAGAAAATTTACAGTCGCTGGGACAGGAAATTCCTGTTGGAAACCTCCAGACAACACGGACCAATTGTCACGCTCGAAAATGCCCTCATGTCATCAATGCCGCCGAAACCCGAACGCCCGTGAAAAATAACGAGTCCTGTAAACGCTTTGGTTTCTCTAGGCCCGACCCAGCCTTCGAACCTCCCTCTTCCGATACACGATGCCTGCATTACATGAGAATGCAAAGCGAACGCCTGAATAACCCACGCCCGCCCTACCTTTTTCCAAGGAGCTTTCGGCCACACCAATTTTTCAACTTCAAGGCAGTGACTGTTGACCAGGCGAACGCCACGCAAACGAACGACCCATCACATAATTACAAGAGCCGCCGCACGAGGAAGCCTACGGCCGCTGGAATAGGAAACTCTTGCTGGAAACCTCCAGCCACCACGGAGCGAAACCCGAACGCCCCCGAAAAAACAACGAGCCCTGTAAACGCAATCGTTTCTCGAGGCCCCTCCTCCAACCTGTGAGCTCCCCGCTTCCTATGCACAACGACTACATAATCATAGTGCACAACGAACGCCTGAAGAAGGCACGCCTGCCCGAATTCCCCCCGGAAAAGCTCCCTCGTTTCCGAAGAGCTCCTGGCAATGCCACGTGTTCAACTTCACGACAGTGACCGTTGATCGGGCGAACACGACGCCAAAGAACAACCCAACACGTGACTACAAGCGCCGTCGACCGAGGAAGCCCACGGCCGCTGGAACAGGAAACCCTTGCTGGAATCCTCCAATCAACGCGGAGCGAAACCCGAACGCCCGCGAAAAACAACGAGCCCTGTAAACACAATCGTTTCTCCAGGCCCAACCAGACCCTCGAACCCCACCCACTCTTCGGATACACGATGACTACGTGAAAACGCAGAGCGAACGCCTGAATGGACGCACGGACGCCCTTTTTCTTGAAAACTCCCACGTTTCCATGGAGCTCCCGGCCACACCAAGTTTTCAGTCTGAGGGCAGCAACCTTCATCGAGTAAGCGCTACGCTAAACAACAACGCATGACGTGATTTTAAGAGCCGTCAGCCGAAGAAACTTACGGACGCTGGAATAGGGAACTCCTGCTGGAAACCTCAAGCCACCACGGAGCGAAACCCGAACGCCCGCGAAAAAAACGACTACGATGTTCAATGGAACAAATTTTCTCCCACAAATCCCCGGACCCCCCCTGGACAACCCCTCCAAGATGCATACCATAAGCGTCTTACAATGTGGTTGTGGCTGGCGCTCGAGCGGCAGCACAATACCCACCTAGGGATGTGGCCAGAGCTGAGGCGAGAACACCACGCCTAATGATGAGTGGTGTGGCCAGCGCGAAGGCGACAGCACCAATCCCAGTCGGGGATGTAGCCAGAGCTCGGACGAGAGCACCATTCCCAATCACGAATGTTGATGGCACTCGAGCGATAACACCATACGTAGCCAATAGCCAGCGCGCAGTGTTGTGAGGATGTCTCAGGCGGAACTGGCCAGACCAGCTCTCGCGCAGCATCTCCGAACCCAGAGGCTTGAGGACGTCTCGGGTGAAACTGCCTGGAACACCTCTGGTCAGGGCACCTCTGAGCCCAGAGTTGCGAGGATGTCTCACGCAAAATCTGTCTGACAACTCGTGCGCGGCATCCTTGAGCCCAAAATATAAAAGAAATCTTATACGAAACTGGCCGGACCACCTAAGGTCAGAGTATATCGGTGCCCACGAAGTTGCGAAGATGTCTCATGCCAAACTGCCTGGACAAACTCGTGCGCGGTATCTCGGAGCCCAGGGTTGCGAGGATACCTCAGGCGAAACTAAATGGAAAGCCTCGCACGCGGCATCTCGGAGCCCAGAGTTGCGACGTCGTCGCAGGCGAAGCTAGCCGAACCACCTCTCGCGCGGCATCTCTGAGCACAGACTTGCGAGGATGTCTCAGGAGAAACGGGCTGGATAACATCGTACGCCCATGTCGCAGACGAACCTGACTGGACCACCGCAGGTCAGAGCGTAGGAGCCCAGAGTTGCGAGGATACCTCAGGCGGAACTGTCTGGAGCACCTCGCATGCACCATCTCTGAGCTCAGAGCAGCGAGGACATCTCAAGCGAAACTGGCCACACCAGCTCTCGCGCACGATTTTGTCAAAAGGAACGGTCCACACCATCTCTGGTCAGGGCATATTGGAGCCCAGAGTTGTGAGGACATCTCAAGCGACATTGGCTTGAAAACGCTGCGCTCGGCATCTCTGAGCCCATATTTGCAAAGATGTCTCATGCGACGCTGGCTGGGCCACTTCAGGTCATGGCATATCGGGGTTGCGAGGGTGTTTCAAATAGACCTGGCTGGACAACCTCGTGCGCGTCATCGCGGAACCCAAAGAGGCGAGGAATGGCTCAAGCGGGAGTGGCTGGATACTTTCACACGTAGCATTTCGGAACCTAGAACTGCGAGGATGTCGCAGGCGGAACTTGCCGGACGACCTCCCGCGCGGCCTCTCTGAACCCAGAGCTGCGACGGGCCGCGTGCGCGGTAGCGCGCGCGCCGCCGCCGAGGCAACAGCCGCCACCATCACCGTCCTCGTCGTCGTGGTAGTCCGTCTCCTCTTCCTCCTTCTCCTCCTCCTCCTCTTCCTCCAGCCCCTCCTCGCCGTCCTCCGTTTTCATACTTTTCCGTCGCAGCCAAGTCGGAGGGAGAAGAAAATAGCGGGGAGGAGAGAGAAGAGAAAAAACGAAACATGACGGGGAGATCGCTGTAGTGATTGTATCAACAGAAGCTGTGGGCTATAACAATCACTGAAAACCTTCACGTGCGAGTGTGATTTTGCGCGGTGTGATCGTGGCCTCTGTGAATGCGGTCCCCAAAGGCGTTCCAATGCGGGCGCGCCACTGTCACTGCTGTGGCGGCGGTCCCCGAATGGGCTCCCGTGCGAAGCAGCTCGCGTGCGGAACGCCTTGTTCCCTTTGGGATCGATCGGTGTCTGCATCACCTCCTGCACGACACGAATCGCATGCGGCACACCGTGGTGGTCCTCGGAACGGTGGTCTGTGACTTGGGTCCTGCGCGACTTGACACGCACACGGCGCACCATGCGAAATTGGCTGCGACGGTCGTTGACGATTCTCCCGGGCAAGGAGGAGGAGGACGAGGAGGAGGAAGAACATCAGTAGGTAAACGACGGGGAAGACGAGAGGGAGGAAGATGTCACGGACAACCCTTGGTCACCCCCCAGACAACCCTTTAGACAACCCGTGGACAAACCCCTTTCGATTTTCTTGTTTATGGTTCACCCCCTCTTCTGGCGCGCTGCTACTTCACATCCACGCGTTCTCACAAATGTTAGCTTCTCGTCAGCGCTTGTATTATTCCCGCGCTGTTTCATCTTCATCAAATTTCCTCTTCGCGTCGGCCGCGCGCAGTTCCGCCTATTTCGGACGCGAGTGCCCCCCGCAAGCGACATTTGAAAGCAACGCGCTCTCTGCAACCCATCGCAGACGCCCGACACGACATGCCGCAGCTGGCGAATGTTTCCCAACGGTACCGACGGATCAGCGAAGGTGCTGCATTGCGGCACGCGGCCCAAGGATCCGCCTGAATCTCGTTGCGTGAAGTCTGGGTCTCGCCAGGCCATATGTAAATTTATGGCGGCCAACTCGTTTACGCATGCAGCCCCCAAGACGACCTGGGGCGCCTAAGCTTCGGACGGCGAACGGCCCCGGCCAAGCCTGTTGGCCGCCACCGACTGCGTGCGATCGGTGGAACGGGGTACACACGTATTGGGCCAATCAACACGCGGCCTGCCGATCATCGATCATCATCCATCTGCCTCCCCCTCCTCCTCCTCCTCCTCCTCCTCCTCCTCCTCCTCCTCCCCCCCGCTATATCCTCATCGTCGTCGTCGTCCTCCTCATCCTCCTCCCCGTCCTCCCTTTGACCTTGTCGTTATTGCTGGAATGTTCTGTGCCGAAGACGTCGAACAACTCCAGCGGCCCCTCGATGGACGTCCCAACCGTCTTGCTAGGCGCCGCGCCGAACTTGTTGGGACGAATGTCAGGGGAGCCGGGAAGATGAAGCTGAGGAGGATCAGAAAACGTTGCAGCAGCAATTGCACTGGCGGCGGCAACGGCATCGGCAGCGGGGGGGGGTGGACGATGGTGCAGGGAGAAAAGAAGGGAGGGAAAAGGGAGGCAAAGGGGAAGTGGGGAGAACGAAATTTCCTCTCAGGTTGGGCATGTCCTCCTACAGGCAGTCTGCGGATGAACAATTAAGCATCGCCAAACACAATTCACAAATGGTCATGAAACTATCGGCAGATCGGCTCCATACTATTTCCCAACCATCTCTGGTGTTGGGTCCTCGTTTTGAAGAGACAACGCCCCGCGTTTCCTCCTCCTTCCTCCTCCCTCCTCTCCTCCTCCTCGTCCTCCTCCTCCTCCCTCCTCCTCCTCCTCCTCCTCCTCGTCCTCCTCCTCCTCCTCCTCCTCCTCCTCCTCCTCCCCTCCTCATCCTCATCATCACATCATCAGCATCATCATCATCATCATCATCATCATCATCATCATCATCATCATCATCATCATCATCATCATCATCATCATCATCATCGTCATCATCGTCATCATCGTCGTCATCATCATCAACATCAGCAGCATCAACATCATCACACGTTTCGTTGCCCCATAGGGAGCTAGCTCCACCGAAGGTCCCAATGGCGCGGTTGGCATGCGCCCCCCCCCCCCCCCAGTGCAGCGTTTCGTGGCCCCACGGGAAGCGCCACCGAAGGTCCCCGTGGCGCTGTCCGCAAGCGTCTCCGCCACTCATTTCGGCCCACCCCTCACACGTTTCGTGGCCCCATAGGGGGCTCCGCCGAAGGTCCCAGTGGCACAGTTCGCATGCGTCCCCGCCGCTCATTTTGGCCCACCCCTCACACGTTTCGTGGCCCCATAGGAGCTCCGCCGAAGGTCCCAGCGGCATAATTCGCACGCGTCCCCGCCACTCATGTCGGCTCACCCCTCACACGCTTCGTGGCCCCATAGGAACTCTGCCGACGGTCACAATGGCACAGTTCGCATGCGTCCCCGCCACTCATTTCGGCACACCCCTCACACGCTTCGTGGCCCCATAAAGGGGTTCCGCCGACGGTCCCAGCGGCACAATTCGCATGCGTCCCCGCCACTCATTTCGGCACACCCCTCACACGCTTCGTGGCCCCATAAGGGGTTCCGCCGACGGTCCCAGCGGCACAATTCGCACGCGTCCCCGCCACGCATTTCGTCCCACCCCTCACACGCTTCGTGGCCCCAAGTGGGCTCCGCCGAAAGTCCCAGTGGCACAGTTCGCATGTGTCCCCGCCAGTCATTTCGGCACACCCACACGTTTCGTGGCCCCATAGGAGCTCCGCCGACGGTCCCACCGGCACAGTTCGCATGCGTCCCCGCCACTCATTTCGGCACACCCCATCACACGCTTCGTGGCCCCGTAAGGGGCTCCGCCGAAGGTCCCAGTGGCACAGTCCGCATGCGTCCCCGCCACGCATTTCGGCCCACCCCTCGCACGTTTCGTGGCCCCACAAGAGCTCCGCCGAAGGTTCCGGTGGCACGGTCCGCATGCGTCCCCCCGCTCATTTCGGCCCACCCCTCACACGTTTCGCGGCCGCATAGGAGCTCCGCCGAAGGCCCCCGTGGCACAGTCCGCATGCGTCCCCGCCACTGATTTCGGCCCACCCCTCACAGCTTCGTGGCCCCATAGGAGCTCCGCCGTAGGTCCAAGTGGCACAGTCCGCAAGAACCTCGCCCGCTATCAGCTTGCGTGGCTCTCTTTGCTCCGCGCAGCGGACGACCCGCGCGCGTCGCTGGGACCCCTTCGGGGCGACCTGCGCGCGTCGCGGGGATTCCGCGCTGCGCTGCGCCCGCAGCCTTGGACTTTTGGGTACGCGGGCAAAGAGGGAGTAAAAAAAAGAGAGGAAGCGGGCGCGATCTTCGCGGGGGGCGCGCCGACATTGGCGTCGCGGCGCGCGGACGATGCCGTCGGGGAGTCCCGGGGGAGCTCCTTGCGGCGGCCACGCCCAGCGTCACGAGTACTCAGAAGCAGTCATTCTCAAACTGTTGACATTCATATCCCATTACACCATGTTTTGTCCTACTCGCATTCATGCACGTCTACTCGCTCGCACAGACGCACTCGCGTTCATATTCACCCGCGCTCAGTATCCCTACGTACTCAGGTCAATCGTTTTCGCTCGCGTTGTGTACCACGCCGCTCATTTCGGCACACCCCTAGCACGGTTCGTTGCCTCATAGGGATCACCACCGAAAAAAATGAATCACAATTGCGGTATTCACACCTGCATATGGTTGGGTCCTTCGTCAGGCTAAGTCTGACTATGTCTGAATAGTCCTCTGGCAAAAAAAAAAACATGCCCGACGTAAACTTAGCCTGGCGAAGGACCCGGCCATATGCTGTTGCGAGTACCGCAAGTGTGAATATCTTCTTCGGTGGCGCCCCCCCCATGGGACCACGAACCGTATGAGGGGCGCGCCGAATTGCGTTGCGGGGTACACAACACGAACGAAGACGATTGGTCGAACTACGAGAGACTGAGCGCGGGTGAGTCTGAGCGCGAGTGGGACTGAGTGTGAATGACTCTGCGCGCGAGTGAATAGATTTGCGTGAATGCGAGCATGGCCACGCCTGGTGTGTATATATATGTATGTATATAGATGCGTGTGTGTGAACGTGAATGGTTCACGTATGCCTGACCCTGAGCACTCGTGACACTGAACGTGGCCGCCGCAGGAAGCTTCCCTTGGAACCCCGACAGCAGCGCCCGCACGCCGCGACGCCCATGTCGGCACGCTCCTCACGAGGATCGCGCCCGCTTCCTTCCCGTTCTGTGTATCCCTCTTTGCCCGTGCGCGCCCACGTCCAAGGCTGCGGGCGCGGCGCCGCGCGGGGGAGCCACCGCGACGCGCGTTGGTCGCCCTGGAAGGGCCCCGGCGACGCGCGCGGGTCGTCCGTTGCGCGGAGCAGAGAGAGCTAGCTGGCTGGCTGATAGCGGCCAAGGCTGTGGCCGCTGGGCAGAGCGACGACGGGTGCAAGCGAATCTCTGGGCAGAGCGCAGCGCGGAATTCCCGCGACGCGCGCCGGTCGCCCCGAGAAGGTCCCAACGACAAGCGCGGGTCGCCCGCGGCGCGAGGCCAAAGTCAGACCGTCGAGAGACGGCTAGGCTCGGGCGGGCCGCTCCTCAGGTCAAGCCTCGCGGATAAACTCGATGAAGCTCAGTTCCCTGGCGAGGGCCGCCGCCTCCCTCCTGCACCGTTTCATGCGCGTGGTAAACAGCTCCAGCTGTTTCCGCAAGCCCTCCGGCGGCCCTGCCAGGAAGAACTCGATGCAAACTGCGCCACTGGGACCCTGGGGGGAGCTCCCTGTGGGGCCACGAAACGTGTGAGGAGGGTGCCAAAATGGGGCGGCGGGCGGCGGCGCCATGCGAGCTGCGTGTGAAGGGTGTGCCAAAGTGGGGCGGCGGCGCCATGCGATCTGCGCCACTGGGGCCTTAGATGGAGCCCCTTGTGGGGCCACGAAACGTGAGGGGTGTGCCAAATTGGGCGGCGGCGCCATGCGAGCTGCGCCAGTGAGACCTTAGGTGGAGCTCCCAATGGGGCCACCAAAATGGGGCGGCGGCGCCATGCGAACTGCGCCACTGGGACCTAGGTGGAGCCCCCGATGGGGCCACGAAACATGTGTAAAGGGTGTGCCAAAGTGGGGCGGCGGCGCCATGCGAGCTGCGCCACTGGGACCTCAGGTGGAACTCCCTATAGGGCCACGAAACGTGTGAAGGGGGTGCCAAAATGGGGCTGCGGCGCCATGCGAGCTGCGCCACTGGGAACTAGGTGGAGCTCCCTGTGGGACGACGAAGCGTGTGAGGGGTGTGCCAAAGTGGGGCGGCGGCGCCATGCGATCTGCGCCACTGGGACCTCAGGTAGAGCCCTCTGTGAGGCCACGAAATGCGTGAGGGGTGTGCCAAAATGGGGCGGCGGCGCCATGCGAGCTGCGCCACTGGGACCTTAGGTGGAGCTCCCTATAGGGCCACGAAACGTGTGAAGGGGGTGCCAAAATGGGGCGGCGGCGCCATGCGAGCTGCGCCACTGGGGCCTTAGGTGGAGCTCCCTGTGGGGCCACGAAACGTGAGAGGGGTGGGCCGAAATCGGGTGGCGGCGCCATGCGAACTGCGCCACTGGGGCCTTAGGTGGAGCTCTCTATGGGGCCGCGAAATGTGTGAGGGGTGTGCCCAAATTGGGCAGCGGCGCCGTACAAGCTGCAAAACTAGGACCTTAGGTGGAGCTCCCTATGGGGCCACGAAACGTAACATGGGTGTGCCAAAATGGGGCGGCGGCGCCATGCGAGCTGCGCCACTGGGGCCTTAGGTATGGCTCCCTATAGGGCCACGAAACGTGAGAGGGGTGTGCCAAAAATGGGGCTGCGGCGCCATAGGAGCTGCGTCACTGGGACCTTAGATGGAGCTCCCTACGGGGCCACGAAAGGTGTGAGGGGGGTGCCAAAATGGGGCGCCGGTGCCATGCGAGCTGCGCCACTGGGACCTTAGGTGGAGCCCCCGATGGGGCCACGAAATGTGTAATGGGTGTGCCAAAATGGGGCGGCGGCGCCATGCGAGCTGCGCCACTGGGGCCTTAGGTGGAGCCCCCGATGGGGCCACGAAATGTGTGAGGGGTGTGCCAAAATGGGGCGGCGGCGCCATGCGCGCTGCGCCACTGGGACCTTAGGTGGAGCTCCCTATGGGGCCGCGAAGCGTGAGAGGGGGGTGCCAAAATGGGGCGGCGGCGCCATGCGAGCTGCGCCACTGGGACCTTTGTTCGAGCTCCCTGTAGGGCCACGAAACGTGAGAGGGGTGTGCCAGAAATGGGCGGCGGCGCCATGCGAGCTGCGCCACTGGGACCTTAGGTGGAGCTCCCTATAGGGCCACGAAACGTGTGAAGGGGGTGCCAAAATGGGGCGGCGGCGCCATGCGAGCTGCGCCACTAGGACCGTAGGTGGAGCTCTCTGTGGGGCCACGAAGCGTGTGAGGGGTGTGCCGAAATGGGGCGGCGGCGCCATGCGAGCTGCGCCACTAGGGAGGAGGAGGCGGGAGGGAGGGAGGGAGGGAGGAACGCGCGACGATGTTTCTTACTGGGTCGGTGAAACGCAGGGAGCAGGGAGGAGGAGGAGGAGGAGGAGGAGGAGAG